TGACCCCCTCCAGACACACACACATTTTTTTTTCGTTTTCCTGATTAATAACAGAAGTCTTACTTGATATTACCAGTTCATGTTTACTTTTTTTTCTTAACCTGATTCAACCTGATTTGACTCCAACCAACAATGAGTCACCCATTAAAAAATATTTACTGTAGGTCTGGATTTGTAGTGATGAGCACACACACAGAAAACCACACAAGGCTGAATTTATAAATGTTTAATTTGTTAAACATTTTACCAATTAAAACAACCCTTTTAAAATCTAATAGGCTGTTCAGTTTTTAGTTATCAACATTCCCCAAATAGTACTGGAGATTGAACTCACTGCATATTTTTAATATCCATAGATTTTCTGTATCTTGGATGTTCTTTATATTCTGTACCGCACAGAAATAAATACATTTATTAGACTGGCTAAAATAGTTGCAGAATTTCATTTTAATGTATCTCTTTAAAAAGCTTGTATATTCTTCCCATGTTTACTTTTTAGTTTTATGGTTCTGTTTTTCACAGTTAACTGTCTGATACCTCACTGAACATTTAGTGGAAGGAACTTTATGGATGCATAAAAATAAAGCTAGACTATTTCTTTTGAACTGGTTATCTAAATAGCAGGTGGTATGTCCTAGAAAATTTCAAAAAAAATACAGTTAAAAACACATCTGTGAATATCTTTGCAAAATTTATTCTCTTCTTATATGTTATCAGTTTCATGATGTGTGAAGAAATACAGCTTTTCTTTTGTCTTATTATGTGCTTCAATTTTCTACTTGAAAGCCTGATCCCCATTTGTGATACTTACTTTCTGTGATGATATCCCAGATGGGGAATAATTTCAAGGTGAGGAGTATATTTTGGAGAAAATATGAACTCCACAGTCCAAACTTGATTCTTAAGGCATAAAAAACATTAAAACCCTAGAATATTTTCTAGTAGTAGCTAGAGCTGCCAAACCTGCAATGTCTCATTTTTCCTGGTTTCCATGAAGACTCATGGGTCAACCAACCTGCATTTAAATATGAAGTATGCTTTACACTTTGTTAAAGCTAGACTGTTAATGTAAAATTAAATTAAAGTAGTTGACTGGTTCTTAAATATATGAGTATTTCAATTGGCACATCTAATTCAGTGCAAACCTGTATATGAAAACAAATCTATAAGGTTTAATTTTTTCAGCTATAATATACTGCTATTGGCTTTTGCTGTTTCTGGGAGTTAGAAATGTGGTGCAGAGCTTGACGAATATCCATCTGTAAGGGGAAGTGGCTATTATACAAATGTAATGCAAGGACCTTTGGAACATGCTGATTAAAACATGTCGTAGATGTTTATTATTTCTCCTCTGCTTGCTTCAACTCCAACCTTGCAGCCTGCAGCCTGGGGACACACACACGCCCACCTTCTTGCCTCACAAGGACTTGTCACTGCACTGCTGTCTGGTCTACCTGCCACATTAAAAATTCAGCAGGTGGGCTCACGGTGCTTGTTAATCGATCACTCAAAAACAATACACGAGTGTCTCAAGCAGTGATTAGAAGAAACATGCATGTGTTCGTTTAATCCCCCTCGAAGACCCTAGTGACAGGGAAATAAGGATTTATCCCCTTCACAGTGAAATATGGGGGAACATAAAATACATGCAATAATTCTTAAATAATAATAATAATATAAATGTGATAGGAGATCTCAAACCAGATATTCTTATTCTTGAAGAGGAGTGAAGAGGAGAAACTAGAATGAGGTGAAAGGAACCATGGTGCCAATTTACCCAATCCACTGAGTTGTACAGTGTGTGCCAGCAGGCAAATCTGGATGGTTTGAGCTGGGCAGTATTTACTGTTCGTCAAATTGACCCCAAATTATCTGAAGACAGCTACTTTGAAATTGCATTATTATAATAGGAAATTGGTTCTTATTTCACTAATTTTATATGGCAAACTACTTTGTCTAATGAAAGGGAAATTCTATCTCAGTTACAGGAAAAGTATTAATAACTCAGTGATTGTCACTTAATAAGAATTATACAAGATGCTGAACATACAAGTACATTTTCTAAGTCTTAACAACCTATATAAAAAACATTAAAGATAATATGATGAACATATGATGAATAATTTTTTTTTTTTTTTTTTTTTGGTGGGGAAGGCTGGAAAACAAGACTTTTACAGTAATATTTGAACATTTTGCATGTGATCACACTGTAATATGGAATGATGTCAATGGCATTAGTATGTTGAGGATAGAAAGAGAGAGAGGGATCATCCAGCAGAACTAAAACTTCTCCCATTCAAGTGTTTGTGCTTCCTCACCTAATCCAATGTTGAGACCAGAATGTTTGTTCTCCACATTTCATGGATGCTATTTCAACAAATAAGACACTCTTCCTGACAGAAGCAGTTGTACTGCAAGTACATGAGGTATCATATCTTTAAAAATAATTTGCATGAGAAAAACAAACAAACAAACAAACAAAAACATTTTGCATGAGCAATTTTGCAGGCTAACTCCTCTGTTTTTGTTTGGGGTTGGTCTGGTTTTACATTGCACTATGAGGTACCTATTTCCTAATAACATTTCTGTAATGTGGCTTTGTAAACAGGACTTTAATTTTTATAGAAATTTATTTTATGAATTGGATAAGAATTGTCCCTTTTGAAGCCCAAATATCTAGTTTCCAAAACTGTATGCCTTTGAGTTGGAAAATAGGAGCATGTGGACAGGTGAATAGTATACCTCATACTACCAGCCTCATTGGGACAGGATCGTCAATGGATGAATGGGTTTTGATACAGATCTTTCATAAATAGATTTGCCTTTGCTGTAACACCAGGCATCTAAAATTTCTCTAGAATATTATTAGCATGGAAAAATAGGGTTGTAATAGACACTAAACTGTGCCTTACATGCATCTACTGCCAGTGGAAGCTGTATGTCTCCTGTTATGATCTATGGTGGTTCAGACCCCTCAATTTATCCCTTATGGCCCATCAAACACAATATTTCTGTACACAAAGTTTTGTGGTCCTTTTAAACTGATGCATCCTTGGAGCTGATATAGCACTTTGTTACCTCTAAGAGGTATGTTGGAAGAATTGTTTCATTCAAAGCATTTTGAATAGAGTACGTAAGTGCAATCCTTTATGGTCCTTGAGAACTGATAACGTGGGAAAGGATACTTTATGTCAAAATATTATGGCTGTATTATCGTTATAGAAAAATATATTTTCAAACATTCATTCAAGTTGAAGAACATTTCAGGAAATGTGCTTACTAAATCAGATTAATAATTTATTTTGTACTGGCAGTGTTGCATTAACATAGGGAATTTCAAAGGGACATAAAGGAGGTAGGCAAGCAGTCGGTGAGAGCTGAGTGCCTAATGAATTTAGCCATTCAAATGTCCAAAGGTATATAAATGGATTATTTATGAAAATCAGCAGTGTTATTTGTACAGATTGATAATAAATTCTCTTTCATTAGTGACCAGTATTTTAAGATTTAAAACTAAGACTGATTAAATCAAGTAAAATATGCATGTAAATTGTCATTATGTGGATGGATACACCTTACTAGATTAAATTTAGATTTTATATTTGCTCCACACTTTATTTTTCAGCTCATTTTTTATTACTGTTCATTCCTTCCACTTCACAGATTATAAATTCAGCTGTGTTTTAGTTCAGGTTAGGCTTTGGATGTAATGGTTGGAGGAGAAAAAAACTTTGTTTCTCTCTCTCTCTCTCTTTTTTTTTTTTTTTCCATTTTTCCTGTGTCAGTATTTTATACAAGGTCAATAACAAGCTTCAGTGTGTTTACAATTACCAAGAGGATGGGATTTGTTATTGTGCACAGACAAATGTGCTGATGCTTCCATTATTTATGGACAGGAGATAAAAATCATGCAACGTACTGAGACAAAAGTAAGGTGTATGTTTTATATCTATATTTTTGATGTGTTCTCTTAATAGACATTGGGCATTGCATGGTTCCATGACTGTGTAATGTAAATTTTTCTTTGTAGTAAAGCTGTCAAAGCTTTTTTTTTTTTTTTTTTTTTTTTTTTTTTTTATGGCTCACGTTTATGTAACTTGGAAGCAAACATCTCACTTCCTATAGTATTGGTACCTATATATAGAACTGACTGTTTTGAACTGCCTACAGTCCAAAGGAGTACATGAAGATAGGATAAACATATTCCCCTGATACTGAGATAATTGATAATTTTTAGGAAACTTTTACCAAGAGAATTGGTTATTAAAAAAAAAAAGACACAATTTATTGAAAAAAGAAAAGTCCCTGAGATGTCCTTAAAGCCCATGTTCTATAATGTGATGACCATTTGAGAAGAACTCTGGTATTGCAGCCAGAGGAGAGCAGCAGAGCCCACTGTTGTGCGCTGCTTTAGAGCATCCAGAAAAGGATGTAAAGCCGTGGTGGTGTGGATCTCAGCCAGCTCCCTTTGCTGCTGTGGTAAAGCAGGATCAATACCTCCTGCAATGGATTCCTGTTGTACAGGGTTTGGGAAGTCTGTATTATATTCGTACTTGTCTGTTGGTTAATCTCAGTGTCTAGCGATGAATTTCTACTGTCTAGAAATGAGTTTTATTCTAACCAGATTGGAGCCTGGCATCTTGATGCCCTTTCCTTTGCCTTGATCCATCCCATAAGACACCGATAGATTATTCTCTGCTACTTAATCTTTCAATCCCTATTGCTTTCATCTGGCTGTTAAACTGGTTTGACAGTTACATCTCCACAAGTCTGTTACGCCTTGAAATGCCAGTACAACAGGCACTCCTAACTGCTTAGAGTCATGTGTAAAGCTCATATTGGTAATTATAAAGGGGTGAGGTTGGGGAAAGGGTTGTAAGTGGTGGACAGAGAAGAGTTTCTCTAGGGGAAACTCAGAGCACCTGTTTTAGATTTGTATTTTCAATTGCCTTTGGGAGACTCTCACTCTTGTTTTTTTTTTTTTCTTTTTTTTTCCCCCAGGGGAAAGAGAGCAAGCCTTGTTTCCTGTAGAGCATTGTGGCTGGAGGTTGGGAGGTATAAACCTCTTCTTGTGTGTCACCTTGCCTTCCTCTGGCTGTTGTCACAACTTGCTGATTAGATTTGAACCTTGCTATTTGTCTTTTTTTTTTTTTTTTTTTTTTTATATATATGGTATGGAAAGGTAGTTTCCAACTTGTTTTGAATTTTCCTTGATAGTTTGTGTGTTAATGATCTTTTTTTAGATGAAAAATGTCTGAAAGTGTAACTGTACTGAATTTTGCATTATGTTAAATTCATGACCCCTTGCTTTGTTCATTCTCTAGTGAATTTGAATAGTGAAAACTAGACTGACTTTCAGAATAGCATAAAATCTTTAAAATGTGCTTGTTACGTCTCAGTGTAAAAATGAAGACATCTCTGCTAAAGCATAGAAAATGCTTTTATAATAGAGCAAAAAACTTTAATGAGAGGTGGATGTCTTTTATGTAGAGATATTTTGAAGATCTTGAGAGCAATAGTGCTTTTATAATTGGGTGATAACCATGTGCTGTCCAGAACAAGGTTTTTTAAGTACCTTATCTTTTTTCTCAGAAGCCACTTCTGTAATTAGCAAGTAATTATATACGTTTAATATAAGCCAAGTGAATTTAATTTTTAACCTTTTTAATTTTTTAACCTTGATCTTCATCGTATGTTCTTCAGACCTACCTCTCCTGCTAAATGTAAGAAGGATAACATAGTTTCCTGGTCACATATTCAGCATTATACGTGGATTTATAAATGGTTCATGAAAGCATTCATAACAATGTACCTATCCTTCCAGGCCAGAAAGTTATGGATGTTTAAATACCTTATGAATAACTTCTCTATTGTGCTGCTATTTATTCTTAGTTGAGCTATGATGGGTTCCCCAGAAGAAGACCCCAAAATAAATGCTTATGAAGGAATTGTAAGCCCCTATTTGCAGTATAGATTCTATGCTAATCTCAGTGCATCTAGAAAGTAAAAGGGTTAATAAACTTGATGCTGGGGTTGGATTTTGTTAGCAGTATTTCCCAATGTTATTATGATGAAGGTAGCAGAGCTAGCTAATCAAAATCACTTGTCCTTAATCATTTAAAATTTGATGAAGCAATTCATTCTCCTTGTATTTTTGACCCACGTAATCGTTACATTATTAAAGTCTGTGTGTGTTTCAGGTAATCAGAATATAATGATTTTGTGAATTTCAAACTATAGCAGGAGTCTATAAAAAGTATCTTCCAAGCATCATCTTCTGCCACAAAATGAGCCTTGGAAAAACAGTGCTCACTAATGTGAAAAAGAGCAAAATGGTAATGAAAATGCTAGGTGAAGAAGAGAAGTCAATTTTCTCAGATGTGTTTTGGGATGTTACAAACAAAGATAATAATTGTGCCTGTAGTACATAGGAAGTAATAGAATGCATTAAAACATTTCCAAACAAAAACTGGATTCAGGTGATTTTTTTTCTTACATTGTGGCTTATGCTTCCACCCGTTACTGTATCTTCTGAGCACAGTGAGAGGATAAACAATGTCTGTCATCTGTCAGATGCTGATATTTGTTAAAATGCTTTAGGTGGCAAACTCTAAAATTACTTGTGATGTATTAATGGAGAATTTTTGATATAGTGGTGTCTCATTGGGGACTGCTTGCTTGTGATGATAATGCTGCATTTCATCCTTAGATGTGATGGAGCAACTGCAAATCTGTAATTTATAGGTTTACAAATGATAATCTTTTTTTATTTTATTTTTTCCCAAAGAAGGTATTTCTTAAGAAGTCTAGTTGGAAACTGTAGTCAGTGTCACCATGATTAACACACCATCAAATATTTATTCAGTGTGCATACTTTGAGATATTATCTGTTTAAAATCAGGCATACAAATAAAGGTCTCTTTGGAAAACCTCTGCTGAACCATGGCAATTCCCTCTAGCCAGGCTGTCAGGAACAGAAGTTGTTGCCAGTCTCACTGTGTGGTTGGAGAATTTCTTTCAGGCTTCTGCCCATAAGGTTCACTGTTGTGTTGGGGCTGTTAAATTCCACTTTGCATTAATATAAGCACAGAAAGGCTTTTGCATTTTTTTTTTTCTTTCCAGTTTACTAGTGCTCAAGTGAAGCTGTGTAAATTTTATGTGGCCTAACTCTCAACCAATGAGCTCAAAATATTAATGCATTTTGTAGTGATGCTCTTGAGGTGTGGAATATAAAACAGGTATATCCAATGTGATTTATGTAAGATTAGATGGTGGTTTGTAGCTTCAAAGATCAGGTTAAATGTCTTCATTTGGTGCAGTTTTCTTGAAGGAAAGGTAATTTTGGTCAATTGTGTTTGAAACATTTACTTTTTAATTTTTGAAAGTGCAGTACAGAACTAATATCTGGCTTATTCATTCAGCTCTTGTTGTCTGGACTCATTAGAGGAGATATATGAAGAATTATGCTATTCTTTTCCAGACTGGCTACATTCAGATAGATTAGATCTTTGATATCTTTAAGTGTTCGTAGTAATTTACTGAGCTACAAGTAGCACCTGTGGAAAACATGTGTTCCAATATGGTATTGAGCAGTGACTTATTAAGACATTATTCATTCTGGAATTACTGCTTTACTCTCTTCCTGTTAAATTTATAGGAATTAAATATTTCAAATGGAATAAAGTCAGGTTTGATTATTGCTTCTTATTAAAATATTCAGAGCATCGTTCCCAGGTTTAACTTTCTGACTGTCACAGAGCCGTTATGTTTTATTTTTTGTAACTATATATGAATGTAATCCACTCGGTAAAATGTGTGCACGCAGTAATTATTTCAAATCTGCCTTTGGATATGTAGTAAGGAATATAATAATGATGGGCTGAACATCAGGGTAGCTTAAGTTTTGTAATTTGTTACTATCTTGTTATTTTTTTACTTTTACACATAACAGTCTTGTACAGGGTAATTTCTCTCTGATTCTCTCTAATCACAGTAATTGGAAAGAATGTACCATCATCTCAAAGGCAGGATCTCAATACCACTTGAATGCATAATTCTCTGCTTGAATTCTGTGGTATGGGGAATAGGAATTGCTCTCCTCATGCTTCAGCCTACTTTCCCCATGTTTCCACCCAAACAGATTTTCCTGTTCTTCTGCAGCCTTTGGGGGTCTACAAGAGCAGAATTGTTTTCAGAGTATGCTGTACCAAGAGTCCTGTTGATCACAGTGGTCATCGAGATTCCTGCCAAGATGAGAACATAATGAAAAAGCTGAGCACAGCTTCTGTGACTCAAGCTAAGAACAGAAAATGGAGGAAAGAATCAGGGAAGTGGAAACGAACCAATGATTTTATTAATTGGGTAAGGTGGCCTGAAATTTTTATTTTAAAACAACTAGTAACGTTTAATGCTTACTTTAATTATTTATTTAATCAGTTTGAAGGAGCAGTCATGAGTAAAGTATCCTGCCACTGAAGTACACTTGATTTGATCTCAGAGGCTCACCATGGGAGGTTAGTTTGCTGTTCTCTTCTGTGGCCTTGTGCTGGGCTTGATGCAGCCAAATGAGAGCTATGGAGTGACTGCTACCCTGAAAACGAGGAAAAAACAAACATGCAAAAAAATGAAAAACAAAAGTCACTATGAAATGTATAAACCATTCTGCAGTTACATCTACCATTTCTCTTTTTTATTATTTATTTTATTTTATTTTGCCCCCCTCCGGAGAGATGTATGCTATTAAAGTATTCATGCAAGCGAGAAGGCATTGATTTTTAGACACCTTCAACAATCAAGTTGAAGACCATGTAAAGGTCACGGCTTGTCCTGTCATAGCTCCTGCAGGTAAAAAGCTTCCAGTGCTTCCACTGGCACATCCTTGGAGAGCTGAGCTGAGCACCTGCCTTGGAGTCTCCATTGCTGCTGCATTCCCACAGGGCAGCAGCGATGTGCCAGAGCTCCTGGGCTGAGCCTCTGGCATTAGAGTGGGCTAGCATGAACTGAATGAGCAGAAATTCTTTTATTTTTTTTTCTTTTTCCCTTACATCTTCTGAGCGTGGAAGTTGCACCAGAGAATAACTCAGGTTTAATAGGAGCCTGAAACTCTAAAGGTATTTATTTCTTCGTAAGGTTCTTCCTGGGTGATTATTTATTGCTTCTGAGAATATCTAGAACACTTTCACATGCCATTGTATTTTGAATACATATTTTAGAAATCTTAAAATTACCTTTAAAGACACCTGTGCACACACAAATTTCATGCATGTACTTCTATGAAATTGCACGTGTGGAAGCTTTTTAACTTTTTAAATTACTATTTATTTATTCTCATTTGAGCACAAAACTCAAGTTTCACTCATTGATAGACTGTGGAGATTGGCTGAATAAACCCACAAAAATTATATTTTATTCCAGTAACTATAATATATTTTGCTTAACATTTCATGGAAGAAAAAAATTCTCATTAGTGGAAATTTTAATGATGCTCATTTTTCCTTATTTATTTAATAAGTAAATGCACTTGATGAAAGATTACTTTGTGCATAATAGAGATGATGAAAAATTGTGATGTAGAAAGCAACCTTCTTTTTATAGAACTTAAAAAAATTGTCTTCAAAATATTTTTTTTTCTGTAGGTTATAAACACATCCACAAACTCTTGGTTGTTCTCCTGTATGTATGTCATGTTAAGACTGAAATACAAAGTACATTAGTTTTAATGGTTTTTAAATGACATACTGAGTAGCAAATCTCGTCTGTAGCCCATCCCTGGTTCTTTTTTCTTAAAGACCTGTTCTACTTTTGCCTGCCCCTACCTGAAATTACAATTAGCTCTGCAAAACGCATTGAGTATTTTCACTGATTGAGATTGCTTTGATTATGAAAGCAGTCCCCTTAATCATATAGTTGCATGTTATTGATGGCATACCTGACAAAATCTTGCAAAATACAGGTGATTTCAAGTGTGCTGCAGTTCTCAAAAATCATTTTGCCAGCTCATCGTATCTTTCATGAGTTTTTATCTCACTGAATTTCCAATCAGCACTTGTGCTTAG